TTGCCCATATCTAGCAAGAGACAGGCCCATATCCAGCCAGAGACAGCCACAATATCCAGCCAGAGACAGCCCCCATATCCAGCAAGAGACATCCCCAATATCCAGCAAGAGACATCCCCAAAATCCAGCAAGAGACAGCCCCCATATCCAGCAAGAGACAGCCCCCATATCCAGCAAGAGACAGCCCGATATCCAGCAAGAGACATCCCCGATATCCAGCAAGAGACATCCCCGATATCCAGCAAGAGACATCCCCAATATCCAGCAACAGACATCCCCAATATCCAGCAAGAGACAGCCTGATATCCAGCAAGAGACAGCCCCAATATCCAGCAAATATTGAATATTTAAATATTGATAAGACTTTCAGATTTGTAATTGCCTATTTTTTCTATTTTTCCAGTTTTAAAGCAGTTGTAGACTCCTCTACCAAAATGTGATTATATGGTCGCCCTGCAGTAGTATGCCATAATGTGGTAGTAAGCATTGCATACTAGCACATCTGGCTGACTTACCTGTCAAGTGGAGCACTCTACTAGCGTGGTGTCTCCGCTCCAGGTGCTCCCATCGTCACCAAATCTCCTTTCCAAGTTTGCATTGTCTGTATTAATATTGAACCCCCCCTCTATTCTTCTCCTCCATCGAGGCCCACTGCATCCGACTATTCTCTCCAGCCCCCTGAGGATTGCTGTAATCTACCGGCCTCCTGGACCCATATCCCGCTTCCTTGATGACTTTTCCGCCTGGCTACCCTTCTTTCTCTCTTCCGAGCTACCCACCATCATCCTTGGAGACTTCAACATCACGTACCATAAATGATGTCACAAGGCACGTGACGCAACGCGTCGGTACGTCATTTCCGGTACGTGGTGATGCACTTCCGGCAGCGGCCATCTTGCTACACCCCCGTATACCATGCAGTACACCCATAGTATGTGGTGAAAGGCGATTGTTACTGGGGATACATGTGAGTGCTTTACCAACTTTTATCTGCAATTTAAATAAAAAGATACTGCACCATGGAAGGTTTCTTGCTTTATACCCTATATATATTACCTTGAGTGGAGGAGGAGTGAATAAGGTGCGCTGAGCAGAGGTCCTTTTCCTATCCCATGGTCCTTGTGATGAGGAGCGGAGTGGAGAGGATCTGTTACTGTTTATTATAGCCCTGTGGCCCTGTGCGGGTCAATGTGTGGAGGTGAGTAGGCATTGCTGCCATTTGAGGATTTCTGTTCATTTTTCACTGGAGTGAAGATCACATCAGCACAGATTCACTTGCATGGACTTTATGTTCTCAATTAACACATATATAATTTGATTGTTTTGATGTTTGTATATACACAGTGTGTTTTTAGAGATATCGATAAAAAGCACGGGAATTTTTTCTTCTTAAAGAATCACTTCACAATTATTTGTATATTGTCACTTATTCAAGGTCATATTTCACTTATACTTGTGGAATGAGATATTTATTTGTTTGCAATAATCTGTCACTGAGTACTAATGTGTGTGCACGGCTAGTAATATATAATATTTATCTTTATTTAATAGAAAGGATTTGATTTATAGCGCTTCACTATTTACAGTTATCTTGCATGCACAGCTGCACCACATTCTGAGTGCACAAGTTTTAGTAAATCAACTCCTTGGTGTCCAGATCAGCATAAACAGTAGCAAGGTGCAGCGGTGGACAGTAATAAAGCTTGATTTACTGAACACAGGAGCTACAGTGGCAAAGTGCATTAATGGTGACTATGTTAGGCCTTGTCTTTTTCGTACAAATACATATCCCTGTAAGGGGAAGCGCCTGGACCAAGGCATTGCTCCAGCAAGAAATGCACTGAATTAGATGCCTTGAGACCCCCCCCCCCCCCCCCGAATCTAAACAAGTTGGAAACCTATAGACCCTTTCTAGAGGGTTTTACCTCTGGAAAAACTGATTGAGGACTTGCAAAATATTAGAGCTGTTTCCCTTTTCCTCTAATGTTTTATTCTCATTTCCTTATGTGGGGACTTTTTCGATCATACTGCAAAGTTCGTTTCATTTGTATTTGTGTTCTATTCCTAAAAACGTATGTGATGTACTGTCCGAATCATATGATAATTTTTTGGTATTATTTCTACTTAGTCTGTACAAGTGTCTCTTATGTGGGAGTTTTTGTCTACCTCTTCTTGTTGGGGCTGTCTTTAATTGGTGTGCCCGGCATGGAAAGGGTCTCTTATAAACGTGTTTCATGGAAGAAGACCCATTTATGGTCCTGTAGAGCAATGGGGGAGGCAATATCTCCTTCCGTGTGTTCTAATGCAGGCCATAGACAGGTCGTTTATCGGCCAAATGTTTGTCCGAACGAAAAATCGGCCAATATTCACGCCGTTAGTGGGGTCGGCTGTTTTTTTGCGGGTCTTCTCGTTTATTTTTATCGGTCATGCTGAAAAATCCATGAAAACCGTCCATTTTTCGTGGACATTGGTGGCAGCATTGGCAATGACCGATTTTTTATCGGCCGTCTATGGCCTGCATTATGCACAGTACTGTGCAAGCCTTATCTTTCTGTGTCGTCATTCCGGAGCCAGACGTGACATCAATGCGCATAGCACAGCAGCGCATGAGCAGTTTCGGAGAATGCTGGGGACCACACGATGGCCGCCATCTTCCTCACTTTACATCAAGCAGACTTGGTCCACTTCAGGGAGGAAATAGAAAACACCACACTTACCATTCATCATATTTAAGGCCACAATTAGAGTAGCTGGGTGAGGATATCAGAACCCAGTTGAGCGACAATTTTTTGCTGCTGGTCATCTTGGAGAAACACTATTTTATCTTATTACAATAATTGGTGTGTTGGGAAGCAGGCATAGGTATTGGTTGCTGCCATTTATGGCAATTTTTTTTAACCTTAGTAGATAATCATGTAATGTTTAAGCTTGTATGTCTCACTTTCTGGTACTTTTTAAATGATCTTTGATGCCTCCCTGTGTAGTACTAATTGATGGGCAGCATTAAATTAGTTGGAATGTATGCCCCTATTAATATTTAATAAAGGGGTTCATATATTGATATTGATATGAGTATTTTTATATTGACCTCTACTGATCTACATATATTACTTGCTGTTGGTGATGCTTTCTCCCTGTGCCCCTATCTCTTTTATTACCATTATTATATATTATACTCTATATATTTTTTTTCATTATGGCAGTGCTGTGGTGCGGCACCTGTGTTCTTTGCACACCAAATGACAGCTTCATTCTTGGAGGGGACTTATCTCTTGACATATTGAGACACTTTTCAGAATATCCTTGGTGGTTATGTAATCCTTACCTTATATGGGTTGGTCTTGTATTAATAATCTATAACTTTATATAAAAAAGTTTTGTTAAATTTGATTATCAATTATTATTTGTATTTTCAAGTGGTATCATATCCCTGAAGAAGAATTTATGATAAATATTCGAAATGTGTTGGATCCTAGGCTGAATATATCTGTAATCAAATTTAGAAATCAGCTATGGGGGATACCACCGAATCACTGTTGGAACACATCATAACATTTGAATTCAATAAGTAGCTTGAATTGTTTCTGAAGTGTATCTGGAAATATTTTGATATCCATTTTGTATGTGTATGAAAAAAAGTAAGAAAAAATCCTTTGTGTTAGGTAAAAATGTTAACCCCTTCCTGCCAGGCAGTGGCATTCCTTTAATTTGGCTATTTTGCTGCTGGTGTGGGGTTGTGGTGGCACAGGAAGGTTCGCCCAATCACGTGACCACAGTGCTTCATTGTCGCAGCATTAGTCTCATGATCAAGAATCGGGAGTTGGTCCCACCAGCTTCTGATAATTGCTTGAGTTGTCTTTGGCAGCTCAGGTACTATGTTTGGAGCGTGCTGTGAGCGCACTCTCAGCACAAAAAAAAGCCCACCCCATTTGCTACCGCACATATGCATTAACTGAATGACAACAGGCTAACATGCCCATTTCCTAATGGACCTTTACTGGATCAGAAGGCAAAGCAACTTTATTTGGAATTTTAATGCACACTGTACTCTGGGACCACACTGTACTTATTAAACATTAGTGTATTATTGTCTACATAGGTCCAGGAATCACATTTTCTATGCATTGGCATGTCTACTTGCTCATGCTATCCTGCAATGCAAGCATGGCAACATATCCCTCATTCCAAATAGTAAATCAAGTCTCATTGAACAGTATCAGAATACAATTGGGTAATTTGGCATCATGCATTTATTCTGGCATCCATGAGGTGGCAGCAACCTCTTAAGAAGTGAACCCTACCTGAGTGACATTTAGCTTGCTTTAAATAATTGTCATTCAAACTAAAATACTTGTTTTCACTTTTTTTCATCCTTTAACTGGCGCTCTAACTTTGATGGTGGGATGTTCCTTGGCTTCCTCACATCCAATACAAATCTACAGTATGTGCTCTGCATTGTACTTGAAGTCAGAGGACCTGACTGGAGTATAAGGGAGAAGAGGCTGTGGTGACCTGCACTATATTGCCAAAAGTATTGGGACACCCCTCCAAGTCATTGGATTCAGGTGTTCCAATCACCTCCATGTATGTATGTATGAAAATTCCTTGCTACTAAATATTCCACAGTCAAATGTTAGTGGTATTATAGCAGAGTGGAAGCAACTGGGAACAACAGCAACTCAGCCATGAAGTGGTAGGAAATGTAAAATGACAGAGCGTGGTCAGTGCATGCTGAAGTGCACACTGCGTAGAAGTCCCCATCTTCACCGTGCCTTTTACTAAAGACTGTTATTTTGGGGGTACTTGTACTGACCTCACATTTTAGGACCTCAAGAAATGAAATAGGTAGTCAGAACAGCAGGATTGTTCATGAATTTTCAAATATATATATATATATATATACACACGTACACACTATATTGCCAAAAGTATTTGGACACCCATCCAAATCTTTGGATTCAGGTGTTCCAATCACCTCCATGGCCACAGTTGTATAAAACCTAGGCATGCAGACTGCTTCTACAAACATTTGTGAAAGAATGAATCGCTCTCAGGAGCTTAGTGAATTCAAGCATGGTACCGTGATAGGTTGTCACCTGTGCAATAAATCCATCCGTGAAGTCGCCAACTGTCTGCAGAGTCAATAGCTAAAGCCCTCAAAACTTCATGTGGCCTTCAGATTAGCACAATAACAGTGCGTAGAGCTCTTTATGGAATGGGTTTCTATGGTCAAGCAGCTGCATCCAAGCCTTACATCACCAAGTACAATGCAAAGCATCAGATGCAGTAGTGTAAAGCATGCTGCCACTGGACTCTAGAGGAGTGGAGATGTGTTCTCTGGAGCAATGAATCACACTTCTTTGTCTGGCAATCCAATGGACATGTCGGGTTTGGCGGTTGCCAGGAGAACAGTACTTGCTTGACTGTATTGTGCCAAGTGTAAAGTTTTAGTGGAGGAGGGATTATGGTGTGGGGTGGTATTTCAGGGGCTTGACTTGGCCTCTTAGTTCCAGTGAAGGAAACTCTTAAGGCATCAGCATACAAAAACATTTTGTACAATTTCATGCTCCCAACTTTGTGGGAACAGTTTGGGGAAGGCCACTTCCTGTTGAGCACCAGTGCACAAAGCAAGGTCCATAAAGACATAGATGAGTGAGTTTTGGGTGGAGGAACTTGACTGGCCTGCACAGAGTCCTGACCTCAACCCGATAGAACACCTTTGGGATGTATTGCGGAGACTGCAAGCCAGGCCTTCTTGTCCAACATCAGTTCCTGACCTCACAAATGTGCTTCTGGAAGAATGGTCAAACATTCCCATAGACACACTCCTAAATGTTGTGTACAGCCTTCCCAGAAGAGTTGAAGCTGTTATAGCTGCAAAGGGTGGGCCAACTCAATATTGAACCCTACAGACTAAGACTGGGATGCCCTTAAAGTTCATGTGCATGTAAAGGCAGCAGAGCCATCTTTAATATTATTCATACCCTGTGCAAACACTTTTGTGCGCCCCTACCTGTTCATGCAATTTTGCTTTCCTCCCCAGCATCCTAATAAACAAACACACACATAGACTTATCTGAAAAAAAACGTAAATATTGTAAACATAAAGAACACCCACCGATTGGTCCAGGTTTATTGATTGGTTGGTGAAGGTTACTGCACATCCTTACTGCTCACTGGCAGGTTGCTAGAGGTTACTGCATATCATTATTGGTCATTGATGGAGAAGTGATTTCATGTAATGCGAAACAAATACAGAACTAATAACAACAATAATAATAATAATAAATCATTGGGGGAGGCCACTGTAAAGTTTTGAGAGTCATAATTACACTTCTATATATACCCCACTATAGAGACCCCCCAATAAATGACCATCCCCCATACCCCAATTGGAATACCAAGATGTCAGTTAGATGGCAGTTAACGTCACTGATAGTTGGGTCGCAGGCCAGTATTATGGTGTGTGATGCTGCTGTTGGGGTACAGCTGGTTGGATAGCAGGATGCAGTTTGGGGTGATGGTGGCAGCTTTGGGGTGAGAAGCTGAGATCATATCTCCCCTATAGTGAGAGGGGAGTAGGGTGATAGGATGCCAGCAGTGGAGTACAGGAGGGATAAGGATGATGATGATGACAGGTGGTAGGATGCCAGAGGTGGGGTACAGCAGGGATGAGGATAATGATACCAGAAGCTAGGGTGATAGGATGCCAGAGGTGGGGTACAGGAGGGATGAAGATGATGACAGGAGGTAGGGTGATAGGATGCCAGAGGTGGGGTATAGGAGGGATCAGAATGATAATGATACAGGGTAGGGTGATAGGATGCCAGCAGTGGAGTTTAGGATTGATGAGAATGATGACAGGAGGTAGGGTAATAGGATGCCAGCAAAGGGGTACCAGGAGAGATGAGGATGATGATGACAGGGGGTAGGAAGCTGGCAGTTGGTTACGGGCAATGACGGGGTGGGGTGGTAAGAATATGGCAGTGGGGTACCAGGAAGAATGATGATAATGACGGGGTAGGGTAGTAGAAAGCTGGCAGTGTGGTACAGGGGGGATGAAAATGAGGATGATTATGACAGGGGGTAGGGTGGTAGGAAGCTGGCAGTGGGGTACAATGGAGATGAGGATGATGATGACAGGGTGGGGTGGTAAGAAGCTGGCAGTTGGGATATGGGGGATGAAGATCAGGATGACGATGACTGGGGTAGGATGCCAGGTAGAGGGTGGATTTAGATGAGATTATGATGACAAGGGGTAGGATGCCAGGTACAGGGTAATGAAGATGAGAATGATGATAAGGGGTAGGATGCCAGGTACAGGGGGATGAAGATGAGAATGATGATAAAGGGTAGGATGCCAGGTACAGGGAGATGAAGATGAGAATGATGATAAGGGGTAGGATGCCAGGTAGATGGAAGATGAGGATGATGATGATAAGGAGTAGGATGCCAGGTACAGGGGGATGAAGATGAGAAGGATAAGGGGTAGGATACCAGGTACAGGGGGATGCAGATGAGAATAATAATAATACTTTTTTTCCGAACAGACCGGCCTAACTGAAATCCATTCTAGAGAGTAGATCAGGGAACCGCAGCGGGTATCATCCGGGTGGGCTCTTCACATGGCAGGCAGGAGATCTAAGGAGAGGGGGAGGAGCCAGGGGAGGGGATGACATGGGGCCACCTACTGACTCCGGGCCCTCGGACAGTGCCTGAGTGCCTGATCGGCCAGTCCGCCCCTGTTTAGGAAAAACTATTTGCGGGCCGGGCAGCGGGTGGCTCAAGGGACAGCTGCTTTGGGCCCCTCAACATTGACTGGGCCCGGGGCAGCTGCCCCTTTTGCCCCGCGTTAAATAGGGCCCTGAAAGGCAGGCATCTAAATACTTTTGGCAATATAGTTATCTTAACACATTGAGCACAATAAAATAAACATTCCCCAGTAAACTATTTGTTAAAATACTTACATGAGCACTTGCACTTTACAATTTTCAATGCTGCTGGCTACTCTCTTAGTGCTGCTTCCTTGCACTTCCAGTCTGCACAGGAAAGAGTTAACAGTGGACAGTGCACTTACAAAGAAGTCAAGAATCAGCTGAATCTGGGATTTTTTATACAGGTTATACCAAAATAATTTTGGAGGTGTATTTTTGGTCAATTTATGTTTAGAATAATATTTGGATTTAACAGACACCCTGCCAGCAACATGAGACTCCTGATGAAGTGACCTGTTTCACAAACCGCGTTATTTTAATGTTCTTCATTTTCTGCTGTTGATTCATACATCGATCCTTAAAATGCGTATATGAAGAAATCTGTGACCATAATATATTATGCCCGTTTCTGGCGCATTTTTCTGTTTTAAATTTATTTTTAATCATATACTCTCAATAAAATTGTTGATTTGTATATGTTATATGCATAGTTTTTTTTGTATGACCTCAAAAAGCCCAGGGGCATCTGTTGGAATAGAGGTATTTTAGCCTCTTAACAGCCTATTTCTTAACAGTGGACAGTACAGTCCCTAGTAAGTCTTTTAAGTCTAGTACACACTATTAAAAAATCAGACGAACAATCATTCGATTTTTTTCTGCTTCTTCATCCATTGTTGAAAAGGAGAATGTCATTAGTGGTACAAAAATTCTCGAACAACAGAGGACAACGTTCCAGGTATGTAGCTACAGGCTATGTCAAGTCCAGGCCATGGAGTTCTCTTTTAAGGTCACTTTTTTCATTGTATTGCATACCTCCCAACTTTTGAACTTCAGAATGGGAGATACTTGAGAGAGGAAGTGACCTGCGCCATGTGTGGCGCCATGGCAAAAATAGGTGTGGCCAAATGCTTAACAGTGGGAGGGGCCTAAGGGGCATGGTTGAGCAAAACCTGGGCTTCCTTGTACCTATAAAATATGCTTTGATTGCTGTGCCACAAGCAAGAGTCTGTGGAAGTGTGCGTTACACAAAGTGTGGAAGGATTCAGGAATGCATTATGCACTGAGTGCAGGATTCATGAGTGTGTTTCATACAGAGAGCAAGATTCAGGAGTGCGTTTCATACAAAGTGCAAGATTCAGGAGTGCGTTTCATACAAAGTGCAGGATTCAGGAGTGCGTTTCATACAGAGTGCAGGATTCAGGAGTGCGTTTCATACAGAGTGCAAGATTCAGGAGTGCGTTTCATACAAAGTGCAGGATTCAGGAGTGCGTTTCATACAAAGTGCAGGATTCAGGAGTGCGTTTCATACAGAGTGCAAGATTCAGGAGTGCGTTTCATACAAAGTGCAGGATTCAGGAATGCATTACATACAGAGTGCAGGATTCAGGAATGCATTACATACAGAGTGCAGGATTCACAAATGCGTTACTTACATAGTGCAAGATTCAGGAGTGCGTTTCATACAGAGTAAAGGATTTAGGAATGCAGTACATACAGAGTGCAGGATTCAGGAATGCATTACATACAGAGTGCAAGATTCAGGAGTGCGTTTCATACAAAGTGCAAGATTCAGGAGTGCGTTTCATACAAAGTGCAAGATTCAGGAGTGCGTTTCATACAAAGTGCAGGATTCAGGAGTGCGTTTCATACAGAGTGCAAGATTCAGGAGTGCGTTTCATACAGAGTGCAAGATTCAGGAGTGCGTTTCATACAAAGTGCAAGATTCAGGAGTGCGTTTCATACAAAGTGCAAGATTCAGGAGTGCGTTTCATACAAAGTGCAAGATTCAGGAGTGCGTTTCATACAGAGTGCAGGATTCAGGAGTGCATTTCATACAGAGTGCAAGATTCAGGAGTGCGTTTCGTACAAAGTGCAGGATTCAGGAGTGCGTTTCGTACAGAGTGCAAGATTCAGGAATGCATCACGTACAGAGTGCAGGACTCAGGTGTGCATCTCATACAGAGTGCAGGACTCAGGTGTGCATCTCATACAGAGTGCAAGATTCAGGGGTGCGTTTCATATAGAGTGCAGGATTCAGGAATGCATTACATACAGAGTGCAGGATTCACAAATGCGTTACTTACATAGTGCAAGATTCAGGAGTGCGTTTCATACAGAGTAAAGGATTTAGGAATGCAGTACATACAGAGTGCAGGATTCAGGAATGCATTACATACAGAGTGCAAGATTCAGGAGTGCGTTTCATACAAAGTGCAAGATTCAGGAGTGCGTTTCATACAAAGTGCAAGATTCAGGAGTGCGTTTCATACAAAGTGCAGGATTCAGGAGTGCGTTTCATACAGAGTGCAAGATTCAGGAGTGCGTTTCATACAGAGTGCAAGATTCAGGAGTGCGTTTCATACAAAGTGCAAGATTCAGGAGTGCGTTTCATACAAAGTGCAAGATTCAGGAGTGCGTTTCATACAAAGTGCAAGATTCAGGAGTGCGTTTCATACAGAGTGCAGGATTCAGGAGTGCATTTCATACAGAGTGCAAGATTCAGGAGTGC